TATTTACTCATTTACATACTAAAATTTTTGTGTGAAGTTCCTATTCTCGACCTAAGTATACCTTATTACATTTTTGAAGTTTCCTCGCATGATCAGTGATTGTCTTGATTTATGCTTTATTATTACCCTGAAAATCCAAACTAATCCCAATTTCCCAAGCTTTTCACTGGCACGAGAATTTTACTCCATAACTATCTAGACCTATAATGTAAAAAAATATAAACATTCTCGGCAATGTACACGATCTTTTACTTTATAATATTTTAGTAATATCAAGCTCGTGATCAAAAGTCTTGCTTATTTGTCATTAATTATAGTCGAAGTTTGTACATTGTTTTCTATGTTCTGTTCTGAACAAAAACAACTAAATCCAAACACGAATGTGAACAATCTATCCGCTTCTAGCATAGATTTGAAGCAAACAACAAATATCAAATGATGGTAGTTCAGTTGGTGCTAGAAAACTGAACAGGTGGGGATAAGAACACGTGTACGATCCTCTCCAATATCGTCTTTAGAAAGAGTTTATCAGATTAATTGCAAAGCGAACCAATTGAAATATCTTTAAAAATAAAAGATTTGAAGCGAATAGATTATCCAGAGGGAGAAAAAAATGCCATATGATTATGTGCCTGTTTGGATCATCTTTTTTTTAAGCTAGAAGCTATTTATAAGCATAAGCTAGGCTAAACAGGTTTTGGGAAAAACTATTATAACGAAAAGCTCTTTTTTTTATAATGAAGAAAAAAGATGAAAACTAAAAGCTCTTAGGAGGAGCTTTTTTTAAGCTCTTATCTGTTTTTCTTGAATTGTGTGCTTTTATTTAAAATGAAGAGTGATAAAGATAGAGAGAGAGATAATTTTCTTGAAATATGTGCTTTTAAGTAATTTTTAAGCTAAAACTTTTACGTAATTTTCAAACAGCTTTTAGCTTTTTTTTTTAAGCTTTAACTTATAAGTAGCTTCTAGCTTAAAAATAAGAGAATCCAAACATGCTCTATATATTGGTCATATATATATATATATATATATATATATATATATATATATATATATATATATTAGTTAATAGTATTGGTGTCTCATGAATTCTTCAAAAGCGCGTCTAAAACCAAATCCTTTTGAAATGACAATTGAGTCTTCGAAAACAATTGAGTCATGGATTAGTTAATAGTCTTGGTGTCTCATTAATTTCTCTCATTTAGTAAATTTCACTTTTTCTTTCATCATTAATTTTCTCTCTTCTCAACATGTTTTCAACGAGAACAAAGCGCGTCTTAAACCAACTCCTTTTGAAATGACAATTGAGTCTTCGAAAACAATTGAGTCATGAATTAGTTAATAGTCTTGGTGTCTCATTAATTTCTCTCATTTAGTAAATTTCACTTTTTCTTTCATCATTACTTTTCTCTCAATTTTCTCTCTTCTCAAAATGTTTTTCAACGAGAACAATTCTTAATTCTATCTTAATTAGTTCCATTCCTTAAAAATATCAATACAAAAAGGCCCCTTTTGTTTTTTAGACGCATTCCTTTTCTTTTTTTTAAATATTATAATTGATTCATTGCTTCGCGACTAATCCAATCTAGGAAGAGGTCTAGGATTAAAGCTTTAAACACATCCTAAAAATGATACTGGAGAGGGTTGAACACATACTCTAACCCCAACTTGCTCAGTTCTTATGCGCCAAACTAAACTATCGTCATTTGAATTTATTTTAGAAATATTCTACATCCTTAAACCGTTACATACGTTTACTGTAACAAGCAACTAGGGGTGTTCATTACCTGATCCAATCCAGACCGCGAACACCCCTACGAGCAACCGATAACCACTTTTCATTTCCTCGTCATTATTGCTTACGTACCATGACCAATATCAATTATAATTAGGGCTGTTTGAATGAGTTTTTTTCTTCAAAAATTAAATTTTTTTTTTAAAAATATTTTTCACTATAAATTTGTTTGAATGTCTGTTTTTTTTTTAAATAGAGTAAATTTAAAAATTTTCTTTTTTTGGAAGCTAAACGTTTTAGCTTCTAAAAAAAAAAATAGAAGTCAAAAGTCAATAATTTTTACAAAAATTAAATATTTTTTAAAATATAAATAATTTTAACTTTTATATAAAACACTTCTGAAATAAATAAGGAATAATTTTTTTTTCAAAGGCCAAACAAACGGGTTCTTAATCTTCTAATGAATTTATTTCACTTTTATGTTATATAATTTTTGTTAGTTAAATAAATACAATTAATGTTTTATAAGTAATATTACATACTTTATGACAATTTTTCATTTTTTGAAAGATTGTCTTATTTTATCAAAATAATTTTTTTAAATTTAATACACATTGATTTACAACTATTATTTTTTACAGATTCGATGCTTGTCTTATTAAAAAAATTGATTCATTATCAGTATAAAATATGTTTTGTATTTGATATATTGATATATTATTTAATAAATTTAACATCATATTTAACTATTAATATAATTACAACATAAATAAGATGCTAATAAAAACTAAACAATAAATTTTTTTACACCAGCAATTAATAATTTTTTTTTTATTATGTAAGCAATTTAAGATAAATCTTTATAGAGTGCTGTACTATATATATATATATATATATATATATATATATATATATTTATAGAGTACTGTACTATTTTGGAAATGAAATACTTAAATTTTAAAAAATTGGATTTATGTATACAAACTTCGACGTAAGATTAATTTTTAAAAACTCTAATCTAAATTTAGCTTTATTTATAGTCCAACTTTCCTCTATTCCATGCATCTCTTCATCATTCTTCCTTAGTATCTCGTACAATTTATTCTGTTATATTTAAGAAACTAATAGAAACTTTCCGAAATTAAATTTATTCTTCATTTTAAAAACGATTTCTATATGGCTTATGTAAATTGTTCGATGTGAGTGCCATTAAATTTTGAATGTTGGCACAAAAGCCGTTACTTGGTACATATAAACATTTTTAAGGACCGTTTAGTACGAGTCATTCTTCAGGATTTTAGAAAATTGAATTTTTTTAAATTTTTAATTTCTAGATATTATCATAAACTGAATGTAAAAATTATATTTCTGAAAATCTCAATTTTCAGAAAAAAAACAATTTCTTCTCAACGAAACGCCTCTGAGGATTAACTAATACGTTGCAGTACCCAAGCTATCCAGGTAAATGAACTTAGCGAAAATCAAACAAGATAATTGATGTTGACAGTTGACACAAAACAAAAACTCACAAATAGTTAAGAAAAAACAGATAGTTACGATAATAATATAAAAGTGTTTATCCTTTTAAATAATATAATTTATATCATTTTACTCTCGTAAAGAGATGAAACTCATATCTTTATTTTTTTGTCAACTATCTGTTCTTCTTTATCTATCTTTTTCTCTCTCTTAATATTATGTTATTCTTTAAAATGACATACATTTTTCTTATAATAATAATACGCAATTGTGTTTAAAATACTGCCACGTGTTATTCCAGATAATTGTGAGTCTAATTATGTAGATGATATTAAATTCTTGCTAATAGTCCTTTACTCGTAAGTAATTCATAAATGCTCTTCTAGGTGCTGTTTGGTTGAAGCTTTCTGAAAATTTGTCTATGCAAATGGAAGTGGGTATCATTGAAAGCCTTGTTTGGTTGGCTGATTTTTAAAATTTCTCCACCTATCCCACTTGTCTAGCAAAGCATGTTTGGTCTTAGAAATCTATCCTTTTTCACTGTTAAGAAAGACATCTTCAACATAGTTTTTTGTTACTTAGCTGGGCAAATGAAAAAGTGAATCATGACCCAGACCAAAATACCCCTGTGAAGAGCAAAGTTGATGAGTCAGGCAACCATGGAGTTGCCAACTTTCCTCCACAGGCTTAACCAGTGAAAGGAGACTCTGCGATGCCCAGCTCTTCAGTGACTTGAAAATTTCTATCATGATAGGAACCACTAGGGCTCCATGCAAGTGCTACACGTTGTGTACACATTGATATCATCATTGTTTGCAAGCTTCACATTGATCCCGTTGGGTACTCATTTTTTATTTTTCCAAAATTTTTAAAAATAAGGATATTTTCGTAATTGTCACTTATTTCCTCATCTATATTTTACTTCAAACCAAACATAGACTTTATAAATCTTACCTAATTTATCCGGTAAATTTTTTTCCAACCAAACAACTTTTTTTACATTTTCCTACCAAACTCACTTTCCCACCATTTCCCTATCAATTACATTTCCCTTGTATTCCAAAAATTTCTCCTCAACCAAACACCCCCCTAAGGTTTTTCTTAAACTTAAAAACAGTATTCTGATCTTAGTGTGTGTTTGAATCATCTTATTTGTAATTTTTTTTTATAAGCAGAATTTAGGCCAAATAAGTTTTTAGAAAAACTCTCTTTTTTATAATGAAAAAAAAAGTCAAAAGACAAAAGTTCCTAGAATGAACTTTTTTTTTAAGTTTTTGTCTGCTTTTTTTGAATTATGTGTTTTTTTTTGGAACGAAGAGCCATAGAGATAGAGAGATTTTTCTTAAAATGTGTTTTTAAATAATTTTTAAGCTAAAATTTTTATATAATCACGAAACATTTTTTATCTTTTTTTTAAGTTTTTTTTTTTTTTAGTTTTAACTTAAAAGTAATTTCTAGCTTAAAAAAAGAGAGAGAAACCAAACAGAATGGAATAATTTTTTCCAATTCTCTAAAATGTCCAGTCCGTTAAATAAAACAATTTTCCAATTCCTTAAACAAACTTAAATATTTGTATAAGCTTTTTCTTAATCTTTCCCTATTAGTTACACTTTTTTTCTCAAAAAACTCTTGTACTACTTTACAATTTATAAAATGATACTCTAATCTCATTTATTAACCTAAATTCAATACAAACCCTCTTATATGGAACAATCATATATTATTCAAAATACATAATGATACTATAAGAAAGTATTGAACTCCAAACATGGAGTAAAATTGTTCATTAGAATAAGCTAAGATGTTCATCATACAAATTACTTTGACTCCAGAGATCAGCATCATACACTGGAGAAGAATATTCGGATTCGGCCGCCAAGGGAATCAATAGTTCGCTTGGAACGTGGGACACCTCAGTCACATATGGTAGTGTCCAAAAATTATCAATTGCTGATTCTGCGTTTGCATCGAGAAAGCTGCATAAGTCATTGTCCAAAACCAAACTTTCACTTGACGATTGATGTGGAGACAATGCACAAGCATTAAGGATCTGGGTAGTATCTGAACTTTGAAAAGCATCATTATTAGGTACTATAATACTTGGAGTGTAGGAAATGTCAGAATCTAAAAAATATGGCTCTGTCCAGAAATTTCCATTCACAGTCTCTGTGTATGCATCAAGAAAACCGAATTCATCTTCGAGAACCAACTTTTCTTTACTAGCAGCTGTGGTGTGATGTGAAGTTGTGGAAGAGAATTCGCTGGAGGAAGATAGTGGGGATATTGAGTCACTAAAATCTGAGATCTGGGAAGTACTTGGAGGAGTAACTTGTAAAACAGTAACATCATTTTTGGTCAATGAGTCTCTCCCTGGCTTGGCTTCATTATCTTTTGATTTTGAGGCTTTGGCTTCTTTTTCATTTGTGATTGTGCTCTCCTCGAAGCGCTTCTTGAGGGTTGTATGCCAATGGTTCTTTATTTCGTTATCTGTTCTTCCTGGTAACTCAGCCGCAATAGCAGACCATCTGAAATTAAAGGGTAATTAAAATGGTCAAATTAACATTCCACAATTACATCATTGAACAATTTCAAATAGCAATTTGTAAAAAATCATTTGAATTTTGCTGGTACTTTGATATAGAAGGTGGTTGTGATTAAGTAATTAATTAGTAGAATGTGATCTTACCTATTACCAAGCCTTTTATGCATTCTGATTATGTACTCTTCTTCTTCATGAGTGAAGTTCCCTCTTTTGAGATTAGGCCTAAGATAATTCATCCACCTCAGTCTGCAACTTTTCCCACACCTTGCAAGACCTGAAAACCAATGCACCAAAGTATAAAATTTCTATTATATATGACTAAAAAACCTCACTAATCATCTTAATTATCACAAGTATAAATCCAATTACAAGTTAAAAGTTTAATTACCTGCAAACCTGGGGAGTTGGCGCCAATTCCAACAGCCATATCTAGTGACATAAGCAATTAACATTCTATCTTCCTCAGGAGTCCAAGTACCTTTCCTAAGTCCATTTTTGTCACAGGAAGGGGTTCTCACCATCTTTGAGAGAAACAAAAATACACTCAGTATCAGTGTGAGTGAGTGTTAGTGTTTGTAAAAGGGTTGAGATATTGGTTCTGTTGATAAGCGACCATGCGTTTGAGAGGGAAACCAAGAGATGGATGTGGGTTTCTTTGCGTCTGATCCATCAGTCACTCATTTATACTCGACGCGTTTCACAACCAAAACGTGTTTCATGTTCTTTAAAATTCACATGATAAATAAAAGATTCTTCTGAGTTCTGACTTTGAAAGAAGGGTCTTTCTCACCAGATACTAACTGCTCAAACTGGTCAAAATTTCTGTTTCTTTCTCCTTTCACATTATTTATGTTTACACTGTCTCTTAACTACACCTTATCTTCCACGAAAGTAACAGGAAACTTGCTTACCTGTTTGGCTTCCAAATTATATAACACAACGTGCCCCACCTGCTTTGCTGGCAAATTAACACGTGGGGCAATCAATAAACACAAACACAATTATCGTCAACGTTGTCTTTTTTTTTTTTTTTTGGAAAACCTCAACGTTGTCTTTTTCTGTATTATCTTTTTATTTGTTTTATTGTTTTGCTCCCCAAAAAATAAAAGATATTTGACTCAATTCCGATATTCAATGTACTTATCATTGAAAAAAATTGTTTTCCTTTCTATAATACCTCCAAGAAAAGGAAAATGGTTTCCGTTTTTTATCTGAATAAAAAAACTTTAAGAATTACAAAATAAACATTTTTATATGCTTTAGCAGGAAAATAGCTTGCATGAAAAAAAAAATTATCCCAAGCTAACATCAAACAAAACTGTTTATTAGGAATCCCAAAAAATAAAAAACTGTTTATTAACAAATTATATTGTTATCAAATTAAACGGTGCTACACGAAAATAGTAAACTTTTCAAGTTAAGAGAAACTTCGAGTTCTAATATCCCCTTTTTAAAGCTACTTTTTCGACTTGTATTAAAAAAAAGCTACTTTTTCGACTTCAATGCTAATTATTATCAATAATTAAGAAAATTCTTTTTTAAAAAAAAATTATACACCAATTCATTAATTATTTGAATAATCGAATTTAATTAGGCAGAATCATATTAAGCACACCAAACTAATTAGCGCGCGGATGTTCTGATTTCACTGAAAGAGTGTAAATTACTTTTTCTTCTTATTCAATGCTAAATATATTTTGAAGTATTTTGTTGAGGCAAAATCAATCTATATAATAGGAATTAATTTGACACTAGAAAGTATAACATTTCGTGATGCACTTTAAATAAAAGAAAATTATAAAGCATTATAATTATATTGTAGGTTTAATTTGCAACAAAGTTGATTGATTTACTATTAATTGATTATTAAATTATAAGATATTTAATAAATCCTATTCTACTTTTTCCGTAATATATACTATTCTAGTATTCATGCTTGCTTTATTATTAATTGATTTATTTACACTACAAAAAAATAGGTGATTAGTGGAGGTCATATTTGTAAATTGTAGAGGTCTTTGACCCCCACAAAATACATTAGTGGCATCCACAATTACCTCCAGTTTTGCATGCGCCACAACACATTTTGTGGGGGTTTTGTGTGCAATGCCACAATTTCTTGGAATATTTTTCTGGAGGTTCTAGACCTCCACAAATGCTACACTTTCTAGAGGTTTCAAACCCCCACAAATGTATGTTACACTTTCTGGAGATTTTAGACCCCCACAAATATTGTATTTCTGGAGGTGCACTAACCTCCACAATATGTTTTACTTTCTATCACTTATAGACCCCCACAAATCGGTTTTTCATTAATGAATCCAGTTTAATAGAATTGGCATAATAAATGGTTTATAAGCAATGTGTAGCGGGTTGGTGCGAATTAGATTAGCCTGTTTACCCCTCAGCTAATTTAACTTTTTCTGATTTTCTGGAGTCCATGTCGATGGCCCTCAAAATAGTCAAAATACATAATTCATTGTAATATATAGTTCATATTTGTAAACGTGTTAAAGTGGGACAAAATATAATGTATGTGTTTAAAGTGTTCTTAAAATATAACAAATCATGAGAGAGTTAAAAACCAGTAAATTTTAATTCCACTAGGAGGAGTAGAATTAAGTAGAACATAACAAAACTTTAAGAAGACAGATCATAACATGTTCTTTATTTATGGTTACCAAACGCTACTATACTAGTATTAGTGTATGAGTAATACACATAAGAGATAGATCAAAATCACAATGTTTTCAATTTTTGTGTCTATTTCTTTCTTCGTTAATGATAATTGGACCTCATCTATTTAACGCATGTAAAGAGAGAAAGTGAGAGATACAAAAATATCACATGACCAGATCATGTCAAATTTTAACAGATGATGTTATTGTCAGGACAAAAACCACAAAAGCTAGAAAACAAAGGACAGCATATTGTCAGTACTTTAACATGTCTTCCACTCGTTTATTCTTCATTTCCCTTAAACTTCATACCAATGCATTATGAGTTTTTACTGACTTCTCAACAACTCTTTCCCTTGCTTTTGTTGCCTGCAATAATCACAAAGTACAGTTTTTTAGTGCTAGCTAGCTATGCCTCTTTATCATCATCCAGTGCATTCCACATGCAAAAGAGTCTAAAAGAAAATGCAGTTGGAAAGGAAAATTATGAGCAATGGGAAATTTATATATAAGAAAACTAAAACGAACCTCTTTCTGCAAATCTGTTAATGCTGTTACGATAGCAAGTATAATTAATTGTAGAACAGACCCTGATACAGTTCCCATCCAAAGCCCCTTGGCTCTTAGTTTTAGATGAAAACCCAATAACAAAGCTATTGGAATTCCCACAAGATAATAGGCTCCAAGGTTGACATAAGCCCCTAATATTTGAAATCCTCCACCTCTGGCTATTCCTGTAGATATAAGCAAGAAGGTTTATATGGCTGTAGATACAAATTAAATCAAGTTTTATTTGCACAGAACAATAGTGTTTCAGCAAATAAAAACTCACCAGAGAGTACTCCAATTAGACTATCGGCACTAACATACTTGATAACTTGAGAATATCTTCCCCTCGCAAATTAGTATAATTGTAAGGGTTTTATTTAAACTACCTGTCAGAACAACTTATGTATGTGGGGCTGTTCTACCATCTTAATTCTAGCCTGTCATTTTCCTACAAAAATGAGATTTATTAAGTAAAAGTGAAATATTTAAACTACTAATCTAACATAGGAGACTGGCTCATACTAACTTAAGGCAACACAATTATGCTTCGATGCATATCTAGATTTGAAATTATTTATTTTTTAATTTTCTTCATAGACTTCAGCTCTAAAAATGAAAGGGAACCAACTTATATTACATGATATTTCTTTTAAATCTAAATATAATCTAAATAAAAGTTTGATGAATTTAAAGGAGGCGATTGCCCCTTTTTACCTCTCTCTGGCTACACCACTACATAGGAGCATAGTAGAAGAGCCACAATTTATAGCTTTCAACTTGTGAACAAAATATGGAGGAACAAGTTGCTAGATTGAATCTGAAATCAGAATGAAATTTGTACTGAATAATATTTTGGTATCAAATTTGAAATCAAAATATGCCTCTTTCACCTATAAGATCTGATATCTATTCAGGTATTCTTATCCATTTATCATCCAGAGACTAAATGTGCAGGAGGAATAGTCTCAACTATGATTTTGTGGTTGTTGCTTTATTGTGCCTTCCCTTCTCTATATTTATTCAAAGAAAAGTATTGGACAGAACTGCTACCCTGATATGTATATGTTAATTTTAACTAATGTTCCACAGAACCTAACAAATTGGAAAGGGTGGTCTTTGAAAAAGTTAGGAGAGTTGGGACTACTCATTTGTCTAAGAGCTAATATCAATCATAATTTATGTATAAAATTGAAACTTTATCAAACAATCACACATGACATAGATGAACAACAAATCATAGCTTATAGTTATAAAATCAAAATCCTCAATTAATTGTAGGAACACAACTAACGCCCTACCTCGAACCTCCATGAACTTCACCGTGCTGCACCTCGCTTCTTCATTGGTTCCCCTTTCTGCACCTCGCTACAAACAAATCAAACAAAAACCCCAAACTTTAGTTGAAGGAAGAGCAAGTCCAATGTACGAGAGCAAGTCCAAGTCCAATTACAATTTTTCAAATTCTTAGCATCAACATGAATGGGCCCCATTTGTAGAACCATTGAAGTGGCTCTTAGATTCATCATCAGCCGTGACTCTTTCAGCCCATGTCGCTACATTTTAATTACCATTTCCAACAACTGAATGACCATGATCTCCCGTAATTCCAGTTGCAATGCATACACTCTGGAGGAAATAGCAATCCATGAAGAAAATAGTTAAGTAAACTATAATTGATGAGAGAAAGAAGTTCCAAATTAACTTCTTTCTTTTATTAAACTAAACCATCAACAACTTAAGTAACCATAAAATTTGATCAAACAACTAATCAGAATAGTGCACTAATGAAGGAAAACCTGTAGAAGCCATATGGTCAGACGCCCAATCATAAAGCAATGGATTGCAAAATGAATTCAACACACAAACACAGCAATAATTATAAATGTTAAAATATTTATAGAAACTTGGAACTTCTACATACAAATATTCAAATGAATTGAATATAAAATTCAAGCACACACAGCAATAGCAATTATAATTTAAAAAACATATGCAAAAAAATCAAGTAAAATTGGATCGAACTGATACCTGTTGGCGTGAAATGTAATCGACCTTGATGGATGATATTGAAAGCAAAAGCTCCGGAAGAGGCAATAGCTTCTCAACCTCGCGAACGCTGCTTCCTTCGCTTCCACGCCGAGATCCTCAACCATCACCTTTGAACAAAAACAAAAAAAATTCTTCAACTGCTCGAAGAATGCTCTTCCGGAAACTCAAATTGATCACGAAATAGCTTCCTGGAGCACGAGAATGTGGTTTTAACGAAGTGCAGATTTGAGATTTGGAGATAAAAT